AGAGCTGGGTGATGCTTACCTGCCCCTTTACCTACAGTCTTCTCACCTGTGCCTCCCCCTGCACACCTGAGCTGGAGGGGAGGAGTGGGGGGGTCTGGGGGGGGTGGTGGCTGCTGCTTTTCCTTGCTCCTATTTTGCTCTGAAAGCCTGGGATTTGGAACTGTATTTATATCTAAATGAATTTTCCCACCTGTCCCACATGCAAGTGAGGTGATGCTCTGGTGGCTGTCCTCTCGCAGGGGAGAGCTGGTGGGTGGGTGCCCTGGTGTGGGCTGCTTCTCCTCTCACAGCCTCCCCTTGCCCTTTGGCATCAGTGCCGTGGTGTTTGAGGCGCAGGTTTCTGGGAGCTGTTCTCTGCAATTTGCAAATTATTGAATCAGCTCAGAAACGGCTGCCCGAGGCTCCTGGCTCGGGTTTGGCAGGAATAGGATCAGACGAGCCTTCTGGTCTGAAAATGTCTGCAAGTGCCTTGGCTGATTTACCCAGATCTTCAGGAAATTGCCACATTCTCTGTTCCTGCAAGGAAGAGTAGGCAGCCCATTTTGTAAAAGATAAAAACTTCTTTTTACCATTGCTTGCTTATCTAGCCTCACTGTCCTGGCCTGGCCCAGTGGGAAATCCTTGGCCAGTTGGAAAGATTCCAGTGTCTGTAGAGGTGCAGGCAAAGCAGGAGTCAGCTTCATGGGATGAGGCTTCATGGGCAGCACAGGCGGCAGGGTGACCCCCGTGGCCAGCACGGGCAGCTGGGATCCTGCCTGCTCAAGTGCGGGACGCTCTGAACTGTTCAACAATGTTTATTTGCTGTTCGGAGGGGCAATTAAAGCCAGCCCCGCTGGCAGTTAAATGTCACCTTTCTCTGGGCTGGGCTGCGGTCACTGCGCTGGGGACGTTGCGTGTGTGCAGGTGCAGGCTGGCAGTTTGCAAACACGTAATTTATTGCAAGAAATGTAGATGAGAAAATGCTGCACTTTTTTTTTTTGCTGACTCTCAGGCTTCGATGTGAGGAGGCAATACTGCTGAACAGGGCTAAGCTGAGCCAGGACATAACAAGGTAAATCGGTTTCTATGGAGGATGTTCCATGGCAGGGGCTCTGCCCAGGCGTCTGGCAGCTCTGCAGACTGAGTGCTTGGGCTGCACCCCAGGGCTGGGGGGGATTCTGGAGCCCCACAACTGTCTGACATCAGTGGGAGCCTGCAGCAGTGCATGTCCTCTGCTGATGTCCTCCGTGGGATGAGTGATGATGCAGCGAGATCTTGCCTGCCTGGCATCCTGGGATTGGGTGGAGAGCTGCTCAAAGTCAGGGCAAGGTTCTTCATTCAGGCACTCACTGCAGATTTCCAGGTGTAAACTCACAGCAAGGTGCCCTTGTCTGTGTTGCAAAAAACCTACCGTTTTAGTTGAGTTTTTTTTTTTGCAATTTGTGAGCAGCTGGCGAGAGTCTCTGGCCATGCTGCTCTGCCTGGTGCTTGTGTCCTGGGAGCCAGGGGTCAGTCCCAGTTGTGTGGATGATGGAGAGGGAGGAAAAGCAGTCTGTGCCCCACTGTCTGCTGTGGACAGGGCTGAGCCTGGATAGGGAGAGGATGGAAAGTGATATGGAAGCACAGTCCCCTCTGAAAACTTAGGAGACTGGGCATGGAATATTAAACAAACAAAAAGGAAGCAGCTGGCAAGGTGATGCCCAGCAAGGATAAAAAATGATGAGTCCAAAAATAGAGGCTGTTAATTTACAGGAGAGTCATTGCTGACCTTCTCAAGGATGAGGCATCTGACAGGCAGAACTTGTTGCTGTAGGAGTTTGGTGCCTCCTTAGGCCAAGTTTGATCTGTGGAATTAAGCACAGGCATACAGGTAACTTGGGGTGCTCTCATCTCATTTGCACATCTGACAGAGGTAGAGCCAGCCACATGTGGAGCATTTTACCATGTCAGGTAACATGTTGGCATCTCCCCTCCATACCTGTGATTTATCTAAATGTACTGTGTTGATTTAGAGCCTGTCTGGGAAATAGATCAAATGGACAAAATGAGGTGGGATGCATTAGGGGTTTTTCGTTAGGCTTTGGCTTGAGAGAGCATGAGAGAAGTGTGCACTTGGAGTCAGGGTCTGGATGGGAATGCTCCAGGCAGCCTGGGCTCGTGCTGAACAGGACTTTTTAATCATTATTTCAGTATGTCCATGGGGTTTACCAAATACAGGATATTAATTTGAAGGTGCTTTAGGACTGTGATCAGGGATGCTTTAAAGAGAAAGACCTCATCTGCCCGTGCTGCCTTGGGAGCTCACCTCACAACCTTGCTGTGTTGGGAGCTCATGGGTGTCCATGGTTTTCCCCCTGTTTGGGGGGGATAATCCCCATTTTCTCCCTCTTTGGAAAGAGCCAGAAGAGCAGCCCTTGGCAACAGGTCCTGGCCAGCACAGTCCTGGGGGCGCTGGGATGGCTGGGGTAATCTCAGTCTCCATTCGGAAACCCTGCAGTCGGCCCTGCCATAACCGCATTAAGGTATTTCCTTAATTAGATTTATTAAGTATGCAGGATTCTAATTCTCTCTTTTCTTTCTCTCTTAATTTGCCTAATGAGAAAAACAAAGAAATCAAATTACAAAAGTCATGCCCACGTTTCCTCCTGGAGAGGCCGGTGTCTGGCTGCGCAGTTCTGGAGGATGCTCCGGCCCATCCCGTGCGCTGGGGCCTGGCTGTGGCCGTGGCCAGGGTGGGCAGTGGGGGTGGCAGAGCCCCCTGGTACTGCCAGGTGCCCCTTAGGGAGCGGACAGAGCGCTGTGGCCTGCGGTTGTCAGTGCTGGAGCTCCTGTGGCGCCAGGAGAGGCGAGTGCGTGCGGAGCTGCCCGGCGTGCCCAGCGCCTGTCCTCGCTGGTGTGGGTGCCTCCACCTCTGCTGTGCTTCGGGCTTTGCAGAGACCGGCACCCTCGGCATCAGCTGGGGACCGGGTCACGGAGGGGCTGCTGTGAGTCCCCGCTGGCTTGGGGGTCGCTTCAGGGGGATCCCCAAGGGCTGCACCCCTGCACAGACAAAGATGTGCTAGTCTTCCCGCAATTCATTTATCATCCCAAGGGCAATCCGTTTGGGAAACGGGCCCGGGCCTTGACCCCAGCGCTGGTTGCGGGCTGAATCATCGGCGTCTGTGGTTGGACTTTAACATAACAGATCCTCAGTGCAGAGGCTCTTCCAAGCAGTCCTTGGGGATGGGCTTGTTTTGCTCTCCCGGAACTGCAGGAGCAGTTCCAGCAGTTTGGCCCCAAAGAAGCAGCCAGCATGTGACAGAGGAACATGTTGTTAAGTTGGGTGATTTTATAATACTTAGAATATGATGCTATGGCAACCCACTACAAATCCCAGATCAAATCAAATTATTTGTGCGCATCCCTGTAACTTTAATCTTTTCAAAGTCGTATCTGTTTTATGCCTTTGAGGCCACTTTGCAGCTGAGTGCAATCAGGCAGAGCTCAGGGTTCAAAGCAAGGAGAGCAGAGGATGAGTGGTTTGCTCCAGATCAGGCTGTGCTTTAGTGTCCTAGAAAGTCAAAGAGCAAACAAGGAAAATCTGTCATCATTGGCATTTTTCAGCAGTAGAGACATGGTGAGGTTGTGGAGAGCAGAGAGGGAACAAGCTTGATAAACAGTATGGGTGGGCAGGTCAGGAATTCCGCTACTGCCCCACGTTGCTCCAATTAATTTCTTGCATTGAAAAATCGGAAGATGCCAGGAGCTCAGATGAGGGGTAACAATGTACATTTAACTTGCTCTGATATGAAAAAGAAGATTTATTTTGATTTAATATAATGTGAAACATCAGTCCTTGGTTTGGATGCACGTTTGGACACAATTCAATGGGCATTTCCCGCAGTGCCTCTGGCTAAGGCCATGCTGCTGGCACAGCCCAGGTGGTGCCGTGACTGCCCTGGCTGTGAGGAGGATGATGCTGCTGGTCCCGCTGCCTCCCCACTTCATGGCCTCAGCACTCCCTGCTGCGGAGGGGCTGCGGGCACGGCGCTTCCCCACGGCCAGCGGGCTGTTGTCACCTGCTGTCACAACGCTGGGGCTTGGGAGGAGGGGGCATCGTGCGTGGGAGGGCAGGGCCCGGGCGGTGGGGCTGCCGGGGAGGGCAGGTGTTGGCAGAGGCCGGGTGCAGCCGTGGCAGGAGCCGTGCGTGCCGGAGAGGCCCCGGCGGGCACCGGTGCCCGCTGCGGCGCGGCGCTGCGCGGAGCCATCCTGGGGCGCGCTGCCATGGGAACCAAACCTCGTTACGGCGAGATAAACAGTTGGACATTTTGGCCCGGTTTCTGTAGGACTAACCTGGCAGGGACAAGAGGAAACTAAATTAAATCTCAGATTTTCTGACTCCCGGAGGAGCATCTGGCAGTGCCGCTGCGTGATGGCGTGGCTGCCTGCCCAGGATCCGCCGGGCGACAGGGATGGGAGTTTTGTTCAGGGGAGGGCTGAGGCTGTACTTTTCCAAAGCTTAGGGGACTTTTGGGGGGACTGTCTTGACAACTTTGTGGCACAGGGGCTGCTTTCCGCTTTCCTGGGGTCTTGCATCTTCATGATGCTCTTGGTACTTCCAAATCTGGTGCCAGGTGCTGTGTTGGCAAAGGGGCCCTCAGCTGGGTCCCTCCAGAGCTGTGCTGGGGTGTCCCTGGGTGTCACTGAGCCTCTTTTTCTGCCAGAAGGCTGCTCAGCCGCAGGTCCTGCCCAGGTGGGGAGGGTGCCAGAGGGAGGGATGGCTGGCTCCTTTCACAGGAACCCAGCCCCGCTGTCCCTGCACTACCAGCACCACACATGGGGACTCGCAGCCCACCCTGGGCATAGGCTCTTCTGATGACTTTTATCACCTTCTCACACTGCTGGGCTTTTTCTCAGATTCCAGATATTACTGTACAGGTAGCTGCACACCACAGCTTTGCCGAGGGAGATAACCCTTATCTCCTGCCTGGTGTGCTGGCTCGGGCAGGGGGGAGCTGACGTGCCTGTGTTTGGTTTTCCAGGAAACAGGAGCTGCTGAACAGCACGGATGTGCCCGTCCCGGAGCGGCCCCTGTCACCCCCGCTGACAGCCCCACCGACCATGAAGGTGAGAGCGCCGGGCCGGGCCAGGGTTTGGAGAGCCAGCTCGGTGGGGAGCAGCACTTCCAACGCAGCGGCTGCACGGATTAGGGCTGTTCCCACAGGAGCAGCAGTAGGTGGTTTCTGGAATTCAGCCTGTTCCGACTCCATCCCTCTCTCCATCCGTGGTGGCGGCCGTGCGTGCCGACACTCCCGTTACGCAACGGCGAGCGGCGGTGCCAAGCGGGGCGCTGGGTCCCGGTGCTGCTTCTCTCCCAGTAACCCTGCCAGTAACCCTGCCAGTAACCCTGCCAGTAACCCTCCCAGTAGCCCTGCCAGTAGCCCTCCCAGTAGCCCTCCCAGTAGCCCTCCCAGTAGCCCTCCCAGTAACCCTCCCAGTAACCCTCCCAGTAGCCCTCCAGCGCAGCCCTGGGTGGCTCGGTGCTGGCACAAGGCAGGTGCGGTGCCCGCCATGGGGCCGGGCATCCTGAGATGTGCGCCCCAGCAGGCACCTGCCTGTCCCCTGCAAACCCCACCTGCTTCCTGCCCAACCTGTTCCGGGCACTCTGCCGCCCCGGGGAGCCGCCCTTTGAAATAACAAGGCAGCTGTCCCTACCAAAGGGAGGTGGGGCTGGGCAGGGGTGGCTGGGCTGGTGCTCTTGCCTGTGAGGAGGTCTGGCTGTGTGGCTGGTGCAGGTGGGAGCGATGCCAGGAAGGTAATAGATTTCTTCCATGGCTGTGACATGTGGGGGAGAGTGCTGGGGAGGGGTGCACAGCTCTGCTTGCTGCCCTCCATTCGTGGCAGCTCCCACCTGGTGCAGGGTTTTCTTTCTGTCCTTTCCTTTGTGGCTCTAAGTGGGCACTGCTCTCTGAAGGGCTGCATGCTTTGCTCAGTGTGTGTGCCATTTTCTGTCAGACTCGCTGTAGCAGCTGGGTCCGGTGCCACCGTGGGGTCAGGTCTTGGCTCTGGCTACTGGTAGAGCAGGACCTGAAACTACCCAAGAACATTTGTACCTGGAGATAGATAGAATCCAAACCAAGCTCAACTAAGGAAGACCTTTTAAAGAGTATTCAGCTGTGGACACAGCTGTCTGAGGCTGGGGTTTTTCTTTTTGACTCCCGCAGGTGTGTTAGGTAAGCAGGGGCATGGTCTAAAGTTGCAAACAGCTTTAGCCGGGGTTGTGTCCGTGTCACAGCTGCCACACCTCTGCTGGCAGCCACAGTCTGCTCGTGCTGTAAATCTGACCTTTGATCACCACAAATACTAAAGGAAAAAATTTCTCTCAGACTTCTATTTTCTTTTGATTTTCATTTCTTCATCCCTTCCTCTGTTTTTTTGTCTTTTGAGAAATTCAGTGTATTTTAAGTGCTCACTAAAAATCACCCCCCTTGTCTTTCCCCTTGTTACCATGACCTGTATTTTTGGCCCCAAATCACACACGTCTCTCCCGCAAGCCGTTTCTGGCAGCCGGTAGGATGGGAGCTGCTGCTCCCTGTTCTCGGTCCTGCCTCGGGCTGGCAGCGCTGCCGTGGCCCAGCTCCTCCGGGCCTGAGGACAGGAGGGCTGAGAGAAGGGATGGGCGGTGTGCCATGCCTCCAGAAAAGCCACTCGGGTTTACTGGGAGTGCCGCATTTGCAGCCGTAGTTTGGCTGGGTGATTTATTGGTGCGCACCTGAGAGCAGGAAGGGCTGGGAGAGGCATCAGGGCTGCCCAACAAGTCTGATTTCCGTGGGTGCTGTGCTGCAGGGGCAGCGCCGCGGGGCAGCGGCCACCACCGGCACGGTGGGCAGCGCAGGTAGACCAGGCTGGGAACAAGGTTACCTGGAGCTCCCATCGCCGGGGGAGAGCACGCTGAGCCATCCCCGGGGTCCTGGCAGCTCTTCCAGAGAGGCGATGGTGGGCTGTGCCCACCCCGGTGGGGTTCTTGTCCCCGACTCCCCTCTCCGTGTCCCCGAGGGGTGGGAATCCCGGTGTCCTGGCTGCCTGGTCACATTCAGGGAGCAGGACAAGTGCTCAGGGTGGGGGTCCAGTGTCCCCACTCTGATGTGGCTTGGACTGGCTTGGCTTGTGTCTGCTTCTATCGAACAGTAGATTTCCTTCTTTTCTTTTCAGTCAGCAGAATTCTTCGAAATGCTGGAAAAAATGCAGGTGAGCAGCACTATGCATGCCAGTAACTCGGGATGTTTGCCCCAGCAGAGCCCCTGCGGGCAGAGGGCCTGTCCCAGGAACAGACCTCACCTTCCAGCCACTTGGCTTGGAGTGATCTCCCTGTAGCAAAATACCCTCATGTTGGTACACCAACCTCCCTGTGTTGGTAAAAGCATCTAAATTGTTTGTTGCATTTGTTTTCTTCCAAACAGGCACCAAAACTGGAAGAACAGAAGTCTGGAAGCCAAAAACACAAGGTCGGTTGATTTTTGTTTCTTGAGGGGATCTCTTCAAGTGTCCCCCCCTCATCTCAGAGGTTTAATGTGATCATCAAAGTCACTCAGAGGGCTGGGAAGGATTTAGATGTTATCATCTGAAAACAAGGCACTGATTGAATTGCAGAGAAGGGAGCATGGTGCCTGTAAATCCCTAATCCAGCTTTATGTCCAGGCCAGTCCATTTCAACTTCCAGCTGTGCAAAAGGGTTGGGGTTTGCAGGGAACACTGCACTGGGAAATTGCTCCAGTACAGGAACTCCCTTTAGGCAGGACTTAGCCTGCATTGATGCCTTCCTGCGAGGGATCAGCAGGTGCTGGAGGCACTCCCTGGGTTGGGTGGGCAGGGCTGGGGTTTTAAGGGACAGCTGGTGGGGAGCAGATGGTCATAGATGATGTTTTGGTTCCTTTTTCCAGGAAGACTACATCCCATACCCCAGCATCGATGAGGTGGGTGTCCTGAACACCTTCTGGTGAATGCCTTTCCAAAATTGCTGACGGCAGAGAAATTGGTGGAGATTCAGTTTCTCAGAGGAGCTACATAAAGCATGTTCCCCCCTCCCATACCTCTGTGGTTTTTGGCTTTTCCTCAGTAGCATGTGCCCTCTTCTGTGACAGAAGAGGTTTCAGAGGGGTAGATTTGTCCCTCCTGGTGCCAGGGCTGGGGTCTGCTGCAGTAGCGGGGCAAAACTGGGAGCAATGAGCTCTGCACCCCACATCCACACCCCCGTCCTGCCTGACCCCTCGTGGCACATGTCTCTGCAGGTCCTGGAGAAGGGTAGCCCATACCCGCTGATCATCCTGCCCCAGTTTGGGGGATACTGGATAGAAGACCCAGAAAACCTTGGCACGCCCACCTCATCTGACAGCAGCATCTGCGAGGAGGAGGAGGAAAACCTCAGCCCCAGCACCTACGGCTACAAACTGGAGTGCAAGGGAGAGGCCAGAGCCTACCGCAAGCATTTCCTGGGGAAGGTGGGTTCCTCCATCCCACGGGGCTCAAAGTTGCACACCTTTGACTAAGAAAACTCTCCAGCTGAGAGCAAAATGGGCAAGTCTTACAATTTCCCTCTTTGCAGGGAATGGAGGCACTGGTGGGTTCCCAGCATGGTGGTGACGGCCACACATGTGTCCTTTGCCCCACAGCCACAGGTCTCCTGTGACACCAGTGGGGATGTTGGCTCTGAGCCTCCTGTCCCTGGGGACCTCAGCCAGACGGGGGGCCTGCGTGGCAGCCCCTGCCCTCTTGCTCACAGCCCTGGTCCTGGCAAGGGGGTGCAAGTGTCTGAGTGATGGGAGGGTGTTGGGGCAGCAGGTGAGCGTCCAGGCAGTGTCCTTGCCATCGGAGAGTTGCTTCCCGGCTGCTAATGTGCTGATTTCTATTTTTAGGATCATTTAAATTTCTACTGTACAGCCAGCAGCCTTGGAAATCTGATCCTTTCTGTTAAATGCGAGGAGACAGATGGCACAGAATATTTAAGGGTTATACTCAGGTATGGAAAAAAAAAAAGCTTTGTTTAACAAAATATTCTCTCTTTGGGAGTCCCCGGTTCTGTTCCTACAGCAAGTGCTTGAGCTTAACTGGCAGCGTGTGGTGGGGGTCTGGGTGGGATGGGAGGCAGTGGCAGCATCCCTGTGTTTCTGTGCTGGGACTGACTAAATCTGATAATGAACATGAGACTTTGATCTGTTGCTAAACCCGCTGGAACTGAATGTAAGCCTCTGTGGGACTAATCCTCCCTGGGATAACACCAGTCACTTCTCTCACCATCCCTCCATAAGCTGACAGGACCCAGCATGTCTGAACCATTGTGTCATTTCCCTCGAACTATGAATATTTTAAGAGATGAGAAGACAAATTGAGCCTTTGCTCACTAACCAGGCCCAACAAATGCAGCACAACTGTGTTTCCCAACAGTTGGGTGTTGCTTTGCTGTAGACACTCTCTGACATCTGTCTGCTTGTTGTTTCTTTGCTAGGTCCAAAGTCAAGACATTGCATGAGAGGATTCCATTGGCAGGATTCAGCAAACTCCCGAGTATCCCCCAGATTGCAAAGGTGAATATTGCCTGGCTTGGCTGGAACACGTGCAGAAAGCCTGTGCCAGTGCACATCAGGCTGAGCTGGGACGTGCTGGGCAGCACTGGACAGTGTCGGGCTGTGCTCTCAGGTCAAGGGGTGCTCAGGTGGTGCTGGCCCTGCTGCTGTTTTCCTGCTGACCCAGGCAAGGAGAGAAAATGGACCTCATTTGACACAGAGGGACCTGGGACTGGGCTCGCTGCATCCTCAGCTGGGGCCAGCCAGGCCATGGGGCATCCCAGTGAGAGGGTGTGAAGGAGGGAGCTCCTGCTCCTGGAGGCTGTATTTGGCTTCTTTGTAAGACATTCATGGCTGAAGTTTTGGCCAAGGACCTGGCACTGACTGCTCTTTCCCCTTGCCCACAGGCCTTCTGTGACGACGCCTCTGGGCTGAAGTTTAACCCGGTTCTGTATCCCAAGGTGAGGTACCTTGCCCAAGTTGGTAATGTATTCTGCAAGGACACTGAGAACCACACCCAGGACCGCTGTTGAAAACTTTTAGCCTAATTATGTGGAAATTTGGCTTCTTTGCCCCTTCCACTCCCCTGATGCTTCCCAGCCAGTGTTGTACCCTGCTGTAGCTCTGGTGGGATCTCCTCATCCCTCACCATGGATCTTTTGGCCATCACATTTTGAACCACCAGATGAAACAATTGGCATTTTGCTTTCCTGCAGGCATCCCAGATGATAGTGTCTTATGATGAGCATGAGGTCAACAACACATTCAAGTTTGGTGTGATCTACCAGAAGTTCAGGCAGGTGAGTTGTCCCCACGTTGCTTTCATGGAGCATGTCCCTGTGCACCAGAGATCCACGTTTCAAGAGCACAGGCTCAACTCTGACCTTAATTCTGCCATGTGCAGCGCCTCATGTCACTGGATGTCCTCACTGACTGTGTTTCTCGTTGCTTGGATGTTTTCCCCACTCATTAAAAATTATATGACTGAAAAGTCTCAGTATGGAAATCAGCCCACAAGCTGCTGTAGAGAAAAGCGGATGTGAAAACGGATTTTAGCAGGCATGGTATTTTAATCAGATATATGTTTAGACGGTTTGTCTGGGGGGACTGTGGGCTCTGAAGAGAGGCGCTTGCTGTAGATGCTGTCATTAGCAGGGGGACTCTGGATGGGGAGTCAGAACTCACTGAGAATTACTCTGACAGACACTTTACATATTGCATTTTTGGGTTGGATGGAGTGACTCATGCAAGGCCGTAATTAGGGTCTCATTGTTTTGAAATACAGCAAGCAGGAGGTGATTAGGGATTTTTCAACAGAGGACTCGCTTCTGGTTTGGTATTTCCTGGATATTATCCTGAAGTCGTTGCTGGGGCTCAGAAGAAGCTCTCAGCAGCTTTGCCCTGGGCTGTCCTGACAGCCCATGGATGGTGCTGGTGGCGGGTGGTGAATGTGGCACTGGGGAGCAGCGGGGAGCAGCCTGTGGCTGACACCATGGAACAAGGTGCTGGTCAGACCCCAGGCACCCCATGGATGGAGCTGGATGTGGCAGGGGATTGGGCAGGCAGGGAAATTTGAGCTGTCAACAGATGCACTCTGTGTTTTGTAGACCCAAGAGGAGGAGCTGTTTGGCAATAATGAAGAGAGCACTGCCTTCAAGAACTTCTTAAGTTTTCTGGGAGACACCATAACTCTTCAGGATTTCAAAGGGTAAGTTAAATAAAAAGGATGATTTTACAAATACATTAACAAGGGACCATGTCATATGCAAAAATATCTAAGTGTGAGAACAGAAGTCATCTCGCTCATGAGCGGGATGTGCGGAGCAGAAGCAAATATAGTTTTGGCTTGTTTTTCAAAGCTGGGGGAGTTAAAAAAAATGGGAGCTGCCAAGAGAGAAAAATTTCTTTTCCCGCAGCTTTGAGGTTGTGATAAAATCTGGCTATATTCAGCCATGGAGGGAAGGCAGTCTTGTGGAAATGTGCTGTGCCCGGTGTCGTGGCTCAGCCACGGGTGCCTCCGGGGCCGTCCCTGCAGCGACCACAGTCCGGGCAGAGACCCCACTGCTGGTGAGGGATGGTGAGGCCACAGCTCGTGCCCGTGGCTGTGGTCAGCCCTACCGGATCAGCCCTGCTTTATGTGCACCCTGTGTTTCAGGCTGGTGACAGCGATGGCTGGTTACAACACATGACGCATGGTTTGTTCTTTCCCACTTGCTCCCTGCTAGATAAAGATAAATGAGCTGGGCTGTTCCATCAGCCTGTCCCCTGACAGCCGCTGGTGCTCTCTGTGAAGCTCTCAATTAACATCTCTTCGTTTCTCTCCGCCTTTCCCTTGATCTCCAGTTTTCGAGGAGGCCTGGATGTCAGCCATGGGCAGACGGGAGTGGAGTCTGTGTACACGGTGTTCAGGGACAGGGAGATAATGTTTCATGTCTCTACAAAGCTGCCTTTTACCGAAGGAGACACACAACAAGTAAGAGAGATGTGTTTGCTCGCACAGAAGGGTCAGAGTGGGGATGCACTGGCACTGCCCTGCCCAGTGCTGTGGGCACTGCCAGGCCCTGGCACCGTGGGAAGCAGCTGCTTGGTTCCCCAGGGCGGGACTGGCACTTGCTGCTGCAGGAGCAGAGCTGCCGGGTTTTACTGACCCAGTGTTCTCCCTTTCGGTTTAGCTCCAGAGGAAGAGGCACATTGGCAATGACATTGTGGCAATTATCTTCCAAGAGAAGAACACGCCATTCGTCCCAGACATGATTGCCTCCAACTTCCTGCACGCCTACATTGTGGTGCAGGTGGAGAACCCCGAGGCGGAAAACACGGCGTACAAGGTGAGGGCAGTCCCGGGGTGCCCCTACCCAGGTTCGCTTCAGCATCTTTTGACAAGGGCACGGAGTGATGGGACAAGGGGAAGTGGCTTCCCACTTGCAAAGGTAGGGTTAGATTGGAGATTAGGAGGAAAGTCTTCCCTGTGAGGGTGGTGAGGCCCTGGCTCAGTGATGCAGTCGATGTAAGGCCTGGTGGGGACTTGCTGAGCACACATATGTGTGTGCACACAGGTGTGTTATGTATGCACTGTTACATAATGTGTGTGTATACAGACATCAGTTCATAAGATACATGTTTGTAAAACAGCTCATTTGTTAAAGAGTTTTGATGATCCTCAGCATTTGAATGTGCCTTGGAACAGTCTGACATATCACCTGGGCGTAGGTGGCATAAACCCATGGGAATAACATGTCTCTTGACTCCTCAGGTGTCAGTCACAGCCCGGGAAGATGTTCCCTCCTTTGGCCCACCCCTGCCAAGCCCTCCGGTGTTCCAGAAGGTAGGGGCTGAGAGGAAAGCATGTTCCAAGCTGTAAAAAAAGTAGATGTGCATGTCCAAGATGTTTCCAAGCACACCGGCTTGGGGAAAACAGAACTTCTGGAATTGACCTGCATTAATTTTGGTTTCCATTGAGGCCCCTAGTGTTTATGAGTGGCCATGAGGGTGAGTGGCCATGCACCACTGCATGGCATTACTTGAGCAAGGTGGCAGCAGCAGCTCTGAGGTGCTGTGTCGGTGCAGGTGAGCACCTCAAACCCATCTGGGGTTTTCCACCAATGCTTCCACATCTGGAGGGACTGCCAGGTGCTGTGAGCTTGGGTTTTGGGTTGGTACAGCTGGGGTACCAGAGATACAGAATCCTAAAATGGTGGGTGTTTTCTACCTTGGTTGTCTCCCCGCAGAGCCCTGAGTTCCGGGAGTTCCTGCTGACCAAGCTCATCAACGCTGAGAACGCCTGCTGCAAGTCCGACAAGTTTGCGAAGCTGGAGGTGAGGCTGCCCGCGTGTCCCTGCCTGGAGCGGCTCTGGGGAGCTGTCCCAGCCCTCCTCAAAGCCCTGTCCCTGCTGAGCGGGGTCAGCGCTCGCCGGGACGAGAGGTGGTGAGGGTGGGGCGGGCGCTGTCCCCGGGGAGCAGAGCTGGTGCCGTGCGTCGGTGCCGTGGGTCGGTGCTGTGGGTCGGTGCCGTGGGTCAGTACCACACTCCTGCCTGGGGCCGTGGCTGAGCCTCTGTCTCTGCCGCAGGACCGGACTCGGGCCGCCTTGCTGGACAACCTTCACGACGAGCTCCACGGGCACACGCAGACCATGCTGGGGCTGGGGCCTGAGGAGGACAAGCTGGAGAATGGGGGCCATGGAGGCTTTCTGGAGTCTTTCAAGGTAAAGCCCTGCCCTTGCCAACAGCAGAGCTAAACCCAGAGCACCTGGGGTTGGCAGAGTGCGTGTTAGGGGACAAGAGATGTCCCCCAAGGGTAGGGTGGCAAGAGGAGGTGGGGGCTGCTGCCACCACTGCCTGCTCAGCCTGCCAAATGCCTGAGCTGGTCCCAGTGGAAGCAAGCAAAAGCTGGCATGGTTGCATTGTTGGTGAGTGTCCCCACTGGAGTGACTTCTCCAAAGCTCCTGAGCACCTCTACCAGTGTGCTGCAGCATTTTTTGTCCCCAGAGGGGTCTCAGTTCAAGCCCAGTGCCCTGCCACAGAGTGTGCCTGCAGCGGGGCTCTGCTGTGGCAGGACATGTCCTGCTCGTGTTCTGGCTGCTGGCTGCCTCTGCTGTGGGACGGGGATCAGGAGGGCACTGCAGGAGCAAGTGCCAGTCCCTCACTGGGGCAGCTGCCGCAGCAGGTGGGTGGGGGTGGTGGTCGTTGTGCTTAAAACAAAGATAGAAAGAATGGTGCTGGGTGTGGAGTGGGGAAGTGGTGCTGAGTGTGCCAGGGAGACCAGGTGAGTAGGAGGGAAAGCAGGTAATGTTGCCTGGAGGAAAAGGAATGGGTAAAGTGCTGTGGGGGAAACTGAGGAGCCACTGGCAGCAGGGACAGCGACTGGCTGGGCTGCAGGGACAGCCCTTGAGAGGGAGCAGCAGCACCTGAGTCTGAGGGCAGGAGCCATTGCCAGGTGTGTGCTGCAGCTGTCCTGTAGCACGGAGAGGGTCTGGGCAGGGGCTATCCTGACTGTGACTGCGGGGACAGCTCCTGCTGTTACCTCAGGCATGGATATTTCTGTAGCACAGAGAAGTGAGACTGGTGAATGAGCCACCTCATCCTGTACCTGGAGGATGGGGCTGGGGAGGAGGGCGCACAGCTCCGCAGACCCCGCTGCAGAGGCTCAGGTGTGTCCTGCTCCGGTGTGAGCGTGTAGGGATGGCACTGCTGTACAGTCAGGCGTGCGTCGCAGCGCTCACCTCCAGGTCTCCACGCTGAGGCGAAGCAGTGATGTTCTGGCACACTTTGTGTGAGTGAGGAGACAGCCCATGCTCTCTTGGCATTACAGGCAGTGCTGGGGTGGGAGGTGAGCCCCGTGGTCCGTGCTGGGCGCCTCGGGCCCGTGCTGCTGGGCTGCCTGCTGGCTTACATCCTGCACCTCGCGCTCTCGGAGTGACGGGGGAGGACACACGGTAAAGGAGGGCTGCAGGGGCTCGGACCTGGTCCCCGTCGTATCTTTTTGCCGTCTGCCTTGCACCTACGACCCAGCCTACACACCATCCCCTTGGCCAGGTGATGGGGGATCAGTTCTCAGAGGTGAGCAGAACCCAGTTCTGCTCTGAGTGAGAGGTGCCTCTGCCTTTTCTGCGGGGAAAGGAACCACTCCTCAGGGCTGGGGTGTTGGGGAACCCACAGAGCTCCACATCCCAGGACAGAAGCCTGCAGAGTGTGAGTGCCTGTGGCCGCTGCTTTGCAGCAAAGCAAATGATCACTTTCACCTAAGAACAACATTAAATTGTATATGAATGCTGCTGACCCAAATAAATTCAGTCTGATGGACTCTTGCTTGATGTTCATTATTGGATGGGCAGGGGCTGTTGGGGCTGTGGTCTTCAGCGCTGCAGGCTCAGTGAGAGCTCAGGGCTGCAGCTTCCTGTGACCCTGGTACAGGTCCACCTGTGGTTCCATGACCCCAGAGCCAGCAGCAAACAGCCTGCATGTTGCAGGTGCAGCTGGCACCCTCAGGAGTTTGGCCTGCCATGGCTCATTTACTCTTTAGCCTGGGCTGGCATTCAGGGGCTGGAGGAGCCATGGCTGAGGGAATAACTGAGATGAGAATGGAGAAGGTTGCTGATGTGAAGAGTGAGAGAAGGGGGCTGCTTGCCACAGAGAAATGAAGATCAACGGGATCAGGGAGAGCCTGTGGCTGCCATGGGGCCAGTGCTGCACAGCTCACCTTCAGTCCCTTCCAGAGGTGGATAGACCAAACCAGAAGCCACAGCAGCAGTTCAGGCTAAATGTATTCTCAAGCAGTAGATTGCTGAAGAACAGAAGCACTTTTATGTTGCTATGAAGCCTCCAGCTCAGGGGATGTTTTGGGAGAGGTGCAGGAGAGGTGCAAGAAAGGCAGGAGAAGATCTGTCCTCTGAGTCTAGGCAGAATTGTGGAGGCTGTGCACACAAACACAGCTTATGGCTTGGCTGTGGTTCCCATTCCTGCCGAGGACTCTGGGAGGTTGGCCAGGCAGGAGGCAGCGCTTGGGGCTTGTGTCTGCATCTCCTGGTCCCAGAGATGGAGTCTTTGATTTCACAGAGCAATGGGGGCAGAATCTGATCCTGTGGTGGCTGTGGGGCTCCCCAAGGGCAGCCCATGCTCGGCTGCACCTGCTAGGGCTGCTGTCACCCCTCGTGCTGTTGTTGGGGTGTGCTTGCTCTCAGGGAGGCATGGACTCTCCCTTGTGCCTGGGGTAAACCCGAGGCTGGGGAGGAGTTCTGGGGACAGCACCCCTCTGGGTGGCGATGACCTGCTGTCCTTCCCCCCGCCACAGAGAGCCATCCGGGTGCGCAGCCACTCCATGGAGACGATGGTGGGCAGCCAGAAGAAGCACCATGGCAGTGGCATCCCAGGCAGCCTCAGCGGGGGCATTGCACACAACAGCGGCGAGGTGACCAAGACCACCTTCTCGGTGAGATGTCCACATGTCCCTCTGTCCCTCCATCCCTCCGTCCCTCCGTCCCTTCCCCTTCCCACCCCTCCACAGCCTGGCAGGTCACTGCATTCCACTGATGCAGCTTGGCAGTCCCCTGCATGGGCAGTGAGGGTCAGCGCGAGGGAGAGACTTGAGCAGGCTGTGAATGTGGATGCCTTGTTCAAGTTGGGCTCATTTTGTGGAAGAACCAAAGATTAGCTTCCTGGGGTTTTGGCCCCAGAGTAAAAGGAGATAGAGAAGAAGTTCTAGCATTATGTGGTTTTTAGATGCACAGGCAGCGCAGTTCCTCGCAGGATGTTTAGTGTCTGAAGTCCTAGGAGAGAGCTCTGCTCTAACTCAGGTTGTTTGCTGCTTTCAGCCCCCTGTCCCAGCTGTTGCTGCCAAGAACCAGTCCAGGAGCCCCATCAAGCGCCGGTCAGGGCTGTTCCCTCGCCTGCACACGACATCGGAGAGCCAGGCAGAGAGCAGGACAAGGTGGTAAGTTTGGGTGGTACCTATAGAGCACCTGCCACTCTCACAGTTTATTGTTGGTGTTAGGTAGGACAATTTGACCACCCTTTTTAAGTCTCTTGTATAACTATTGCAACCTGTCTCTTTGTGCCCTCAGTGACAGTGTTTCTGGAGCCCAGAAGACACCAGATCTGGGACATTCTTCCCAAGAGATGAAATCTGAAACCTCATCCAACCCCAGCTCCCCTGAAATATGCCCCAACAAAGACAGGTGAGCCAGGATGAGCCTATCCTCCTTCCACCACAGCTCAGCAGACATCAAGGAATTTGTCAAACAAAACCATATCTAAATTTTACTGTAAATAAGTTTGATATTAAGGGAGAAAAGATTCTGGTGATTCTTGAGCACAGCTGTTTTGTGGTCTTTACAAAGAAGAGCAGAGAGCAGCGTTTGACCGAGGTTCCCGAATCCCCAGGATGTACAAGGCTGCTGTGCCTGTTCCTCCCTGCCAAGGCGAAGTCAGCTCGACCTAGGGTTTCCTGCTGGGCACCCACCCAGTGCCCTCTGCCCCGCCTTTGGAAGTGGTTGTGTGCTGAAGCACCCCGAGAGGTTCATTCCTACGGCAGCACTTTGCTCCGGGGTGTGCAGGAGGGTCTGTCCCCCGTCACAGTCCAAGGGACATGCTTCCCTGGTGACAGCCCCGCGCCCTTCCTTCCGTTCCGCCTCTCTCTAGGCCTTTTATCAAGCTGAAAGAGAACGGGCGGTCGAACATCTCCCGTTCCTCCTCCAGCACCAGCAGCTTCAGCAGCACGGCGGGGGAGAGCGAGACCCTGGAGGACTACGACAGTGTGGTAGGCACCAAACCCTCCCCGCTCACATTCCCCTCTCCCCTCGGCTCCCTGCTGCCTCCAGACCTCTGGGGTCTGACGGGGAGAAGTGCCTGCCAGCCCCCAGGTGCCTCCTCACTGCTGATGTGGAGAGGCTTAACCCATCTCTGGGTGGGGAGGAGGAGGGTTGGTGTGCCTGGTGGAGAGGCTTAACCCATCTCTGGTGGGGAGGAGGAGGGTTGGTGTGCCTGGTGGAGAGGCTTAACCCATCTCTGGTGGGGAGGAGGAGGGTTGGTGTGCCTGGTGGGACATCGGGCTGTGTGGCTGCCCCATCCCTGGAGGTGTCTAAGGCTGGGAGCAACCTGGTCTAGTGGAAGGTGTCGCTGCCCAGGCAGGGAGGGTCTGGTTAGATGGTCTTTCAGGCCCCTTCCAAACCAAGAACCCGAACCATTCTGTGATTCTGTGGCACCCCAGTGAGCCTTGGAATGCCCTGGGCACTGCTCGTTCTGCCCAGGCCAGTAGCTGCAGTGGGCATGGGTGCAGTGGGGCATTGGCAGGGTGTGGGGGAAGACCTGAGTGCAGGAAAAGCCATGTCCTGTCTCTGTGAGCAGGGAAGCCAGCCCTCCACCGCGTCACCCTTCAAGCAGGACGTGTTTGTCTACAGCGCTTCGCCCGGCAGCGAGAGCCCCGGCGTGGGGGCCACGGCCACCCCTGTCATCATGAGCAGGAGCCCCACAGGTGGGTGACAGGCAGACTGGCAGGAGGCACCAGCTCTGCCTTTTGCCTCTGGAGCTCCCCAAAGCCCCTGGGTTCCTGTGGTGTGGGTTGGAATGGGGTCGGCGGCTCTGGGATGGAGGAGTCCCCTCCCAGCCTTGTTGGGGCACCCACAGGGTGTGGGGCAGCCCCATCCTGACAGGGCTGTTGTGGAGAGGTGGCCCCATGTGCTGTAGTTCTGTACATCCATGGGGAATTTGTTTCCTTTCCCAATTAGAGTGCAGAGGTGGCTCTCGCTCGTGGCTTTGTTCCCTCTGTCTCCCCTGACAGGCATGTGCAGTAGTCCTGGAAACTCTGTCTCCAGAGGCTGAGCCATGACTCACAATTACTTCATCAACAATCAGCTTCCCCTGGTCCTGGCTCCATTCCTCTCCTGCCAGCCGCTCACCACCTCCATCCATTTCAGTGGGAGGATTTGCACAGTGAGGTGCAGCTCGAGAGGGCCAAAGAGGCAGGAGAAGCTCTGGCCCATCCTGTGCTGACGGTGCAGGGAGACAGGGGACGGCCACAGTCACCTGTCGCCCACAAATCCCCATGGCTCTGGTTCCTTGTGCCTCAGGGAGCCTGCCACAGGCACCAGCATCCACGTGCAGACACACAGTCAGCTGAGGAGCTGCTTTTGAAACAGCTGGGAAGCACAAATAGACCCAAACAGCTCTGTAACTGGGAGGGTTGCAGGCAAGAGGGGACCATGGAGTGCAAGCAGACTTTTTGTGTCTTGGCACCACACAGGTCCTCCTCCTTACTTCATTAGTGATTTTCTGAACCCTTAAACCGGCCCTTTTTAATGCTTGAAGTGTTTATTTTGTATTTTTCCTGCCAAGAACATGAAAATCCACCCATACATTATATGGATCAGTCATTCCTTGTAGCCTTTTCAGTGGCATTTTCAGGAGAAAGACTGTGAAATGTAATTAAGCCTCAATTTGTTCCATTGCAAACACTTAATGTACAGCTTTTGCCAAACATTCAGCCAAGGCAGACTAAATATTGGTAGCACTCCTGACAGCCTATTAAAGTGCCTAGCTGGGCGAGTGCAGCCAGTACTACAGCAAATATTTTTGTTCACAGTTTATTATTTTTGTTCTTTATTTGTCCTCTCCCTCCAGCAGATCTGAAGAACAGAAATTCTCCGAGGTCCAACCTGAAGTTTCGCTTTGACAAGCTCAGCCATGGCAGCTCCAGCATGGTAGGTGCCAGGGCTCTCACTGGTGGGATGCTGTGCAGCCGTGTCCTCCCTGCCTGGCATGGGGGTGGCTCTGGGGGCTGCTCTGGGGCCCATGAGGGAGAAAAGGGAAGGGATTTTGAGATTTCTTGCCCCTTTGTTTGCAACCCACCCCATGTTCTGTTCTTTCACATAGAGCCACTAGCAGGAGGAAGTCATGACCTTGTCACAGGTGAGTGTTGGTATGTTTTGTTTAGTGCAAAAAGGCTGTTTGGGGCTGCTCGCTCTGCTTGGTATTGCTTATGGAATCCACTCTGTACCTTAGAACACCTTAAATACTGCTGTAGGTGAGTGAGGGGAAGCGCAGGGGTTTGTGACAGATCTGCAGCCAGCAGTGCTGCTGTTCCTTCCTGGAGCACCATGCTCCTGCACTGCTCCCAGGCTTGGGCGCCCCAGCCCAGCAGGTTGCATTTTCCCCAGTTAACCTTTGTCAAACACTGGTGCCCATCTCCAGGTTTGCTGTGCTGTGCTCTGGGCACTGGGGTGGAAAGGCATTGCAGGTCCTTACCCATTCCAAAAATCCAAGGGGAAACCAAAGATACTCGAGATGGATTTCATGGGCAGAGGTAAAGGGAGCTCAGTGGGATTTACCTGGGTTCCTTCTGTTCCACAAAATTAAGGGTGTCATTAGGAAGATCCAAACTGAGCAAAAGAGTCCATAGAACTTGAAATGAAAGAAAGTTACATTTCTGAAAGCGTGGGTCTCAAAAAGCTTGGATTTTCACCCAGTCATTGGGTTTCCTTCTCCCACAACCTAGGAATGATGGGTGGCCAGGCGTTTTGGGAAAGGACACTGCTGTGGCTTCAGCTCCCTCCCTGGGACAGGTGCTTCGTAGCCAGCACCTCAGGGGTGGGACTATTCTCCTTCCACACTCCTGACTTTTATCTTTTTCTTCTTTGCACAGGGTGTTTCAACAAAGGGAAAAATCTTCAACACCCCATGGGGCCACGCACGCCCTGGCCATGGGCAGCGAGGTGCCCTCGCCCGCTACACCAGAAAAGAGCTCTCACCTTGCTGCAGTTCTGTCCTGACAGGGACCAGCCACCTTCTCACCCTGTCCCCCTGTCCAGCACCGCCCTGCGCCCCCGCTCTGCGTGCAGGAGGGGCCGTGTCCCTGCCTGTGCTGCACACTCGTGTTCAGGGCCAGGTCCCCTCCTGGTGCTCTGCTGGTGTCACGATCCGCTCCTTCACAGCTGGGTTACCCACGTGTGCTGCAGCTGCTGGGCACCATCCATTCCCCCCGTCCCTGGGTTGCCTGGCAGCTCCTTTTGGCCAGAGGGGCAGCAGGAGAGACCTCCATGTAGTTTAGGTCCCTCCATGCTTTATTTGCAGTTATCAGTGGGGAAACAGGGGTTTATATTTGTTTTTTGAAGGGTGGGGGTCAGGCCAAAGTTAGGTGTTAGTGGCTCTGGGGCAGTCCACCCTCCACCATCATTTGCTGTTGCTCTTCTCTGGGGACAATGGGGCAAAACCTCCCTGGGGGGGGTCCTGGCCAGCTCTCCCTGGAGTGGGATCTGCAGTGTCTCTCCAGCCATCCCCAAGCTCCTACCTACACCCCAAAACTCTTGGGGCAGAGGCAGCCCTCGCTCCAAATGTACTCAGTTTCTTGCACAAGAGGCAGGTAAGTGACTTGGCCCAGGGAAGGGAGCTGGAGACAGCAGCCAGCTCATCCTCTTTGGCAGGTTCATTCTCCCTGCTTTGTCCCTGCCTGAGCACAGGCCTGGGAAAGGTGACCCAAAGCTAAAGCTGTGCTGTATTACAGCTTTAGCTTTTCTAAGTACTAGAACAGGAACCAGAGGGGATTTACCTGGTGGGCTCTGCTTTGCCCTATGGCTTGGATCACCAGGCAAGCAAATGCATAAAACTCTGGTGATTTGTGAGGCATTAGGCTGCTCCAGCCCTTACAGGGTTTGCTCTGCTGCTTTTGAGCAAGCTCTTGTTATTCTGAAAGGATTATAGATTCTGCAAGGTAACTCTCCCATAATGCCCTTTCCCAGAAAATACCTCTCTCAACATGCCAAGAAATCCTTTTGCTCTTTCATGTGAAGTTTTCTGAAGCCTGTCTGTAAATTTCACATTGCTCATAGATTTCCCTTACCCATTTTGTGGAAGACAGGCCGTGATGCTGCAGAGATATTCCCCCCTGTCCCCCAGCCTGTGACCTTTGGACACCCTCATGGAATCAGGTTCTCAGTCTCAAGTGAACACAGTTCTTCAAATATGTGATTCCTACTGAAAAGAGGACTTTGAGTGCCAAAGTCACCTTCCCCTAGTGGGTGCTCCAAGAGGCACAAAGTACCTGACAGCCTGTTCCAGGAGCGGGGCAGAACTGTGCTCCTGGAGCAGCCCTGGGCAGCCGCTGGGGCTGGGGCTGCTCCTGCTCCCCTCTCTCTGGGGCAAGAGCTTATAGAATTCAACCACCACCTGCCCTCCTCCCTGTCATCTCCCTGGGCCGGAGACGAGCCATGGCAAGCAGACCGCGCTCTGCTCACCCTCGTCCTGCAGGGAGGTGCTCTCCCAGAGCCTTACGATCCGGTTCTCACGGGTGCTGGAATTAATCCATGCGGGAAGGCTGTAGCTATGATGCAAGGGGACCCAGGTTAAAGAAGGAGAACAGTTGTGAAAAGGCAGGGAACAGTTTCACCGGCCCTAATTGCTGTGTAGGACTAGTAAATATCAATAACTCCCATGGGGATGCTCCCTCCTGCTCCCAGCCAGTTGCATTTCAATAGAGTTTAAGCCTTGAGTTTCCTTTGGAAGAGGAGCATGCAGTATGCTCAGCCCAGCCTGTAGCTGTAGGTGTCTCAGGATCACACACTTTGCTGTTCAGCACTTGTCTGATGATGCTTCAGTAGCACTTTCAAACCCACCCCCAATTCTCCTCTTAGAAGCTTTGGTCTGATTTCCTGAGGCTGCACGGTGAAACACTGACAATGACTTTTTCCCAGAGTCTGCTCTGGGTTTGCTTTTTCCTCTGAGAAGTCACTCGGTTCTGTAGATGTCGTCATTCCTGTGGGTGTTGATCTCCGTGAGATCTTTCAGCAGATGATGCAGTGGCTACTGTCAGCTGGTTTGCCATTTTGGTTGTTTTGTTGCCTTTTTTTTTTTTTTTTTTTTTCTCTTGAAACTGTGTCTCCTTTGTGACCTAGATTGATTTGGGAATTATTCAAATGGGACTAAGAGAGCAGGGTGAAGCCTCAGGGAGAGTTGCCGTGCTCTGGACTTGTCTCTCCTGCCAGCCCGCGGTGGGGCCGGGGTCTGGCACAAGGTCTGCCAGGGGCTCGGGTGGGACATTTCCAGCAGCACTCCTCGCCAAAGCCGAAACCCGCTGTACACCCGGACCAGCCCAGCTGCTGGATTGTCCCGGGGCGCTTCTGGGGCTGAGCAGTGCTTGTGGTACACCCCGGGGACTCCTGCACTTCCAGCAGTGCGTGGAGGTGTTCCTGTATATATTTTGCAAAATGTTTTGTGCTTATAAGTGACACTTACACATCTATACATATATAAAAGGGATATATATATATGTATAAAATATATATATATATAGAGAGAGAGAGAGAGAGGAAAGGATCCTTAACTGACACTAGAATTCCTGGGCAGTGCATTTTCCTTTCTGATTCCACTGTTTCCATGCACACAACTTCTGCCCTCCTCAGAAGTGACATTGCAGAGGGAGCAGAGTGGGCTCAGAAACGCCTTAGGGGGGTGATGGGGAAGCCCCCGCTGTGTGGAGGGGTCTCTGTGGCTGGGTGTGCTCCCCTCTGCTGGGGTTTGGGTCCCTGGCTGCTCGTGTGCAGCCCCTCGGCTCAGCTCAGGTGCCGCTGCACATCTGGTGCCGCCGCACATCTGGTGCCACCGCACATCTGGTGCTGCTGGCTCCGGGAGAGGGCCGGGACCCTTTCCCCTCCATGGGGGGCTGCTGTGCAGCTGCCCCGGGCTGGCAGAGCGGCTGCTCTGGCTCGGCTTCCCTTCAGGAAAGCACTTGGCACGTACCTGCATCTTCTTGAAACCCCACAGAGCCAAAGCACAACGCAGAAGTGCTTTTTTCTGAGGGAAGCAGGGGATCCTAAGCACAAACTCGGTTCCTTTCCAGAGTTTCGAGGGTCTTCAAGAAGAGCAGGTAAGGGGCCTAGAGATGTTCGTGCCACACGGGGCTGTGCCGGGGCTGGGATCTTGTGCCGGTGCTCGGTGCCGGTGCCGCCCCAAAGCCCGGGCAGAGCCCGGCACCTCTGCAGGTCCCACCTGCACTCTCGCTGCTCCGCTGCTGCTCCAGCCTCTGCCCCCAGCCCCAGCATGCTTTCATCACCGTCAGTGAATGTAGCACTGCGTACGTCCTGCAAAGGGAAACGCTGGATTTATAGCAGAGAATGTGAGGAGAGTTTATAGAGTCAAAATAAATCTTGAAGAAATGTATCTGACAAAGTTTATTTTTGATGTAGAGAGGCAGTGCTTTGTAGTTTCTGGTGACCTATGTCTGTTGTAAATAATGTATATTTAATTTATTGCTATGGTAGCAGATTGTTATGTATAAAACTAAAGGTTCACAAATGTATATTTTGTTGCTTAAATGTGTCTTTGCAAAATTCACAATAAATAACATATTTTGTGTCCATATACGTTCTCTGTGTGTGTGGCCAGGTAGTGATAGCTTTGGAGGAGCTTTTTGGGAACTTTCCTTTGAAAACCAGACGAGGGCATGGAACTGGGCTGAGCCGTGGCAGTGGGAGCCTGGGGGAGCTCCGGTGAAGTCAAACACTCCGGCACTGGAAGCAGAGGAATACTGGAGCACAGGGACGTGTAAATGGGGAATCTCTGCTGGTGCTCCCAGCTCTGAGACTGGAGCACTGGAGGAGGAGCCAGCGACTCTGCAAACACTCAGCCATTTAACAAGTGAACTGTTCTGTCTGAACTGAAATTAGTGTCCCATAAAGCTCCGCATAAAGCGGCTCCTGCCAGCAGCCAGCCCATGTGGCAGCAATTCTGCGCCTGCCGAGCTCCCCTCAGCGCATCAGGCTCCGGTGTCGCCTCTGGACAGTCTGGGTAAGCTAACAAGGAATTTGCGCTTTCTCTCTCCAGATCCTCAGCCTCCTTCCAAATCCATTTTAATTTTTTTTTTTTTTAATATTTTAACAGGGCTTGGGGAAAAGGGTGCTGTGGGAGAATCTGAGCAGCTTGGTGTGTGGTCGGGGGCACGCAGCCTGTCTGGTACCACAGGCAGTTGTTACATGGCACAAACTTACTGACAGCTCCTCAAGTTCAGAGCAGGGTCAACCTTTGAGAGGTTTAAAAAGTTAACCTTTAAAATTCAATAGTGTGAGACAATGTTGAGAGATAAATAAGCAGTTTAGACATATGTTTTAAAGGATTTAAATGTTTTCTAGACATGGCAGATGGGCAAGTTGGGAATTAATGGCTGAGTATTCCAGCCAGAATTTGGAAAGTTTCCCACAGAAACTCTTAAGTTTGGTGGGAGACTCAAATACTGCAGACAACTGGAAAACAAACTCGAAACAGGCTGCTCAGACAGAATTGCTTCACTCACTTTTATAGTTTAAACAGAGTGTTGTGGAAACAAGTACCTAAATCCAGGTTTCAGAGGAGTTTGCATAGTCTTTCATTCACTCAGTTCCAGCTTTCCAAAGCCTTCAGAGCAGCATCCCTGGCTGGTTCTGGCAGCCAATTGCAGATGTGACCAGAGCCAGAGCTGGGGGCACCGTGGTGCTGCCCAGTGTGGCCCTGCCAGAGGTCCAGAATCACAGGAGGACAATTTCACTGCCTGAGCACCTTCTCTGTCTACTGTAGGGACTCTCACTGTGCCACAGACTGCTCGTCCTGATTGCAGAGGAAAGTGATTTGATCCTTCAGTGACAGGAGCATCTGCAGATGTGAAGACACTGACCCCAGTTAAAAGTGGTTGGATGTTCTAAGGCTGTTCCAAATCATCTTGAGAGCTTATCAGATCTGGCAGGGCAGCATGGGGAAGCTATTAGGAAAAAAGATAAGACCTTGTCTGTCTCTTTAATGAAAGTCTGGAGGTACCAGATAATCATGCTGAATAGGGCTTAATGGAAAACCTCCTGAATGTAATTAATCAAGTAATCAAGTAATTTTCTAGGTACTGTAGGAAAGCAGAAGGACGAATGAAATCACAGAATGCTTTGGGTTAGTCGGGGGGTTTAAAGATCACCTACTCAGCCCCTGATAAGGGCAGGGAGATCCACTAGGCTCAGGTGCTCAAAGCCTTATCCAGTCTGGCCTTGAACACTTCCAGGGATGTGGCTCTGCAAAGCTGATGCTCTGGATCCAGCTTTGACAATGGCTCTGTGCAGCTCAGCCAAGCAAGGCACCAACTGATAAAAATCAGGTTTGTTCTTAATATTTGAAATTAGGGACAAGAAAATCCAACTTAGTTTTTGGGGTTTTTAAAATGCCTGCAAACTCTTGACGCAATATAAAAAAGCTGGAGGTTTCCCACAGTCCTCTGTCTGTGTGGTTGGATGCAGTGCAGTCTCCAAGGATGAGGTGTGTGTTCCATGGCACAGCCAGGACACTGCAGCCCCACAGTAGTCTCAGGCTACTCTGTGAAAGGCTCAAGATGACAAAGAAAAGAAAAACAACTATTGCTGATCATATACTTTAATCGTGGCCCCAGGAATTTATGTGACATGAGGTTTTGATATTTATAGCCGGACTTATGCTTTACTTTTTTTTTATAATAGTGGATGTTTATTTCTCTCACCCATTACATCCCATCCCAGAAACAGCACAAATTTATGACAAAGTGAGGTTGATGTACTTTCTTTGTAAAATTAGAAGGTTTTGGCACCTGTGGGTGTCTCTAGCACACAACTCAGTGTGCTGTTAAGCTACTGAAAATGTAAATCCTTCAGTGTTTAATTTCAATAGTGACTGAATTTTTCCACGTGGGTGGGGGAAGAATTTTCCAGTTTCATTCCTCGGAGCTGCTGAAGCCAGAGGTTTCCCCTTCTGTACAGAAGGTGGCACTGGAAATACAGGAATGAAGTGTCATCATCTGCTTGGCTTTACAGACAGGGCGGTGTCTGGTAACACCTGGGAGCAGAAGTGCTCTCTCTCAGCGAGGTCCCGTTCTGCCGAGGGTTAATTTACCAGGTGACTAGCAGGGAACACATTTAAAATGTCTGAGCCCCACAGGTGAGCTGGGCTCTGACGGGAATTGTCGGAGCCCAAACGCTCAGGATAGAGAGGCAGTCCTTGACGCTGAGAGCCGGCCAGCGCCGTCTCCTTTCCGAGCAGGGAGTGCTGGGCGGCTGGGCTGAGCTGGGTGCCCTGTGTCCCCTGTGTCCCCTGTGTCCCCGGCCAAGCCCGGAGCGTCTCCTCCCTGCGCGGATCCCCCGTGCAGCCGCTCCGGGGAGCGCACAGCGCCGGGCGCAGCTCTGCGGCAGCACGAAGGGCTCTCCCAGCTGAGCCAAGCTCGCTGGGCAGCGGGAGCGATGCCGAGGGGAGCCCCGGAGCCTCGGGATGTGCCAGCCCCGGAGCCTCGGGATGCGCCAGCCCCGGAGCCCCGCTCGGGATGTGCCAGCCCCGCTCGGGATGCGCCAGCCCCGCTCGGGACCGCCGAGCGGCGGCAGCGCTCAAAGCCGAGCCTGGGAACATCGGCTCTGGAGGTAACCTAAAAATAAATAACTGCGCTTGTAGGAGCTTACAGCTGACACGCTTGACTAAACGGGAAAAACCTTTCTTTCTCTGCAATGTTGGAGGCGCCGCAGGAGACCTCAAATTCTTGTCTCACAGTAGCTTCTGCTCAGGGATGGAGCAGCTGCTGTTGGGAGAAACTCAGCTGCAAAAGGCATGTTTGTGTGCTTAGTGCTACTTATGTTTCCTTTACAACTTTGCCAAATGCAACAAGTTTAAAGAATTTTTGTCCCAGTGAGAAGAAATGAGTTAGGCTTGCTAGAAGTTCCTCTGTGTTACCTCAAGTCCCATGTTAGGTGGAGTCAGCCATGACTTTGCTGCTGGGATGCAGAGGAAGGTCACTGAATAGCTGTGAACTTCAGTAGTGCCAAACACAGGTCTGGCCAAGGCTCAGAACCTGGCTGCACATCTGGCAGTTCTTCTACAGCCAGTGCCATGGTCTTTAATTTCCATGCTGTTTCTGGCTCTATTTCTTGTGTCCAGTAGGAGAGGAAAGTTTGGAAAGGAAAACAAATAGATCTGTCTCTGTGCATGCCTGGCACTGAGACCTGCAAGAGAAATTGTGTGGCTCTGTGAAGCTCTGCAGGACCGCACTCCACCACTGATCCTTCTCCCTTGGATCCCTCCCCACAGTACACCTTTCCCCTTCCAATTTCCACCAAGCTCTTTCTGGGAAGGGGCCCCACCCCTCCTAAGCTGCTACAGCAGCTTCTTCCTGTACCAGCAAAGCCACCTCCCCTCTGTTACCTGAAGTCAGAAGCTGGCTGCAATTTGGAGTGTAGAAATGGCCACTTTGGGACACTCTAATCATGCCTCCAATTGCCTGACAGGGACTGTGATGCCTTGCTTTACTCTGGTGCTCTGTCTGAATTTTGCCTGCAGAAGTAGGGACTGGGCTGTATCTGCTCTGCTCTGTTGTCTGTTTGCTTTCCTTGAAGCCTTCCCAGAGGAATTATTTGTTAAACAAATTGAATGTGTTGGGAATAACACACAATGGTTCATAATTCTCTGTCATATACCACTGACTCCAGTGGGGATTTCTGCTACATCTCTAGCACAGTGCTGGGGCTGGAGAGAGCACTCTGGGAGGTGGCGCTGCTGCTGAAGACATGACCATATTCATTGACAAGCAGAATTAATTTGTTGGGTTTTGTTTGCATGGATTTTACCAGAGTAAAATCCCACTTATTTTCCATTTCAGTGCCATGAAAAGTGTATTGATTTTTCTTCACTTCTGATTGTTCACATTACTGGATTGCTTTTAAATAGTTGACAGAGATCATTCATTTTCCAGCTCTAACATATTTTACAGCCTGTTCCCTGTTTTACTTGTGTGTGCTTTGGGGGATTTCCACAGTTATACATCATACTGATCACCTTCTGCAAACGGCAGCCCTGGCAGAAGGAAGGAAACTCTCCCCCCGTGGGGTTTTTGCTCCCTCCTGCCTTCTCCTGAGCAGCTTCAGCACCTGTGTTTCACCTTCCTGACTTAGAAGGTAGAGCTGAGGCTCAAAAACCCTCTAAGCCAAAGAGCAAAACAGTCCAAGGAAATAACATGACCACAGAAAAATCAGTGGTGTTGGTTAGTGAGAGGACGTTAAGAGCTGTCCTTGGAGGTTGTGAGTGAGGGGATGAGCTCAGCAGAGGAGCTTAGCATCCTTCCAGCACAACACACAAAGAAATGAGGGAACCTCTGGGCATTTCTTCAGCGCAGAACCCACCGGGCCTTGGAATTCTGCCCCAGCCCAGCACAGCTCTCTTTACCCTTTCCCCTGAGCTGTGTCACCTCTCCAGGCTGAGCTCTTTGGGAGCAAGGACTGCCTGTCCCTATTTGCTTGTACAGTACCTAAACAATGCTGTCCTGGCTTCACAGCGGCCTCAGGCAACAGGGCAACAGTGCTAATAATGAGAATTAATTATTCATTTATCACTTCACTC